TTACCCTGAAATTGGTAGAGTACATCAAATGTGTTTTTCATAAGGCTAGTTTCCTTATAGGGCACATAAACATATGCAATGTGCTGCATCAATTTTACAAGGACCCTCCTGTGTTGTTTCCACTGTGCTGAGGGTCGCTGTCCTGCGGCCATGACAGATGAACAGTGCAACAAGTTTCCATTCTGTACTTTGCCCTGCTCAGCTCTCCCCCTCGCTGCTGCTGAAACACATCGACACAGCCTCAAGCTGCCACCGCCATGCTGCACTGTTGTATTGAGGATGTATTGCACAGTTAATAAGAAGTGCTTAGTTTACTCCAGACAAGATGCCTAGATTTTAGGCTAAACTATTCAGTCTTGCAGTGCAGACAATTTTGCTTCTCATAGTCTGAGAGTCCTCAAGGTGCTTTTGAGTCTTTCACTGGTCAGAGGTTCAGGTGGAATGTTGGCTCTGTTTCTGGTTCTGGTTTCTCCCAACTCCACACAGGGTCTTTGGAGCTCAGCCAGTTATCTTCAGGCTTGTATTCCCCTCCTGACACACTTCCTCTGAGATCTGCGATGTAATCAAGATGCATGTGTGTCTTTCCATATGTCCATTCCAATTCACCACAGGCTGTCTCCAATCAAGCTGTAGATACATCTCAAAGACGATCAAGAGAAATCACTTGATCCTTCTTTTACGTCACATTAAATAAAAAGTATATATTACTGAGACGCTCTCTTCAGGGCTTCTGCCTCGGTGAGGAGGAAACATCTTTAGCAGGGTTTCAACTTTTCGTGGTTGTATTTATGCATGTGGTATTTTCCATGATTTCCCAGAATCCACCTGATGGCTGGAAGGGTTCCCATGGGCTCACAGAGAAAGGTGGTTGCCAAGGAGATGGAGGCCGTCTTTGTGCAGAACCTAAAGTATGCTGCTGATGTCCTCTCTAAGGTAGGCAACCTTTACTGGGCAACAGAACAACAACTCTCAGCACAATGAATGAAGTCAAACTGGATTATTGCATAAATATAGTGCAGCATGAAAAGTAGGATATATGTCAAATTAAAATGATTATTCCTGCACATACATGAACAGTATTAGGTTGCATTGCTCTGCATATTGTAGTGTAGTTGTTTCACTGCATGCAATATATATATTTTAATTTAAATATGACTTCCTATTAATGGTGCACATACCTTTCTTGACTTTCAGTGTTCAGAATGTTTCAAACTGTCAATTTCCTCACAGGAAGGAATCACGGGTTTGATAGAACCAATCAACACAAGGATAACAGATCCCAGGTATTTCCTGGACTCTCCTCATCAGGGTAAGACGCCTCGTCCCACTGAGATCAAATCAACCAGCTTATAGGCAAATCTGCACAAAACAGAATGTAGACCGGACCCTCTTTAACCAGCATGTAGACCTCACCCTCTTTAACCAGTTGAGACCTCACCCTCTTTAACCAGTTGAGACCTCCCCATTGCTAACCAGCATGTAGACCTTTCCATTGTACATCAACCAGTATACTTAACATATTTTATTGACGACTCAAATTAGTTTACCTCTTGGTCTTTATATTTGTTAGCATTAACATTTAAGTCGCTTTCGATAAAAGTGTCAGCTAAACGTAATGTCAAATGGTAATATGTTTCCTTTGAAAGCTATAAAAAGTAGGCAGTCATTTTGCAACCATTAACAGATGTTATACAAATATATTGATGTAAGTGCATAATGGCACATTATGTAATTTAATCTCACATTTGAACACTCCTTGAAAGGATGCAGACAGAACAACATGTGTCTGGTTGTACTGTGCTCAGCAGATTTGATTATTTACAGTACAAGTATGCCAGTTATTTTATAGTATGCGATTTATTTCTACTATTACTTTAAAAATGAAAACACGCCTTCTGTTTTTTCCTATATAATGTCTTTCTACCTGCCTCGAGTAATGTTTCAGATCATCCTTTTTTTTGTCTGCAGCTGCTGAGATACTGGAGAAGGTTGGAAAGCCAAACATTAAGCTGCAAATGGTGGGGGTTTAGGAAATATGTCTCAACTTGAAAGTATAAAAACTGCAAACTATGTTAAAAGTTGACTTGATTTACTGGACGTCTGAACTCTTTCAGGACGTCTTTCACTGGCAAATAATGGATGGAAACCTGACACAAAACATACAAAAGTATCTTCCGCTTATTGGTGAGTAAGGCACCTGCCCGGGCTTCTTTCCCCCATATTTTGAATGTCTGAAGAATCTTATATTATAACATTCAGTTTACAGTTACAACTAACATATCCAAGGGCTACCTGTGGTTCTAAAACTTGGTTAGAAGATGGGCTGATCATTATTTGTTCTCTAAATATTTTACAACCCTAACCAAAAATAAAGGAGAAATCTGAATGGCTTATTAGAGACTTTATTTAGATAAAACTCTGCCTCTAACAAAAGCACAAACACAAAAAAAGAATTGGAGAAATGTGCATTTCAAGGTCCACAGGAATTGTCTTCTCAAAGCAGCCAGTACAAAATAAATACATCTAATGTCAGTCAACAAAGCAAAAATACAATGTAAGGAAAACAATGCCTTGCAAAAAGACCAAAAACATCCTAAAAAGAATAAACTCACCGATAGTCGAGACTGGTAAAACATGCTCTGGCTCTGCTGGGCTGGGCTTCCTGCTCGGGATCCTCAGACTCCTCATGGTTTCAACGTTCCTTTAGCAACGAGCTAACGGCTTCTTCTCCATCTAAAACAAAAGCTACACCTGTGTTGATCAGCACACCTGATTAATGGGAGAAGACAAATGTTACGTGAAAAATCCGTGTTTTCGAAGAGTTCGACAAACCTATTAGTATTTAGTTCTCTTCTAGGCAGTTCTGGCAAAAATACAACCTTGATTGTCATCATTCCTAATAAAGGAAATCAAAAGGATGGTGACTTTGATCGACTGGTTATTCTTTTGGAGAAAGAAAATATGGGAAAGTTTGAATAAGAGACATGGCTAAATTAATTCAGACAATTACATTTATGAAAGAAACAACCCAGCTGTGCTTGTGCCTCTTCAGTTGATAATGATATACATGTTTCTCAGGTCATGTTCAGGTGGCTCAGGTTCCTGGTAGGAACGAGCCTGACAGCGCCGGAGAGCTGGACTACAGATACCTGTTCAACGCGCTGGAAAGGCTGCAGTACCAGGGATACATCGGCTGTGAATACAGGCCTCTGGGTCAGCACTCTCTTTATTCCAATATCATGACACCCTGTCAGGAAAAACATGTTCTAATGGTCTCTGTCTCCCTCAGGCTCCACACAGGAGGGTCTGGGCTGGATCAGAGATTACTGCACACACAGCGAGTGAGGAGCAGGGTCCCGTCACGCAGCTGTGTGTGCTTCAAGTTTCCTGCTTAAGGATTGGCATACATTTTTACTGCTAGGATACTTCTACGTTGAGTCATTTCCTTTTTTTGAACTAATTCCATGCTCTTATATTGACCCTTTTTATATTTAGCTTTTAGCATCACAAACCAACATTGAATTGGTACACTGATAATTGTTATGATTTAATTATATTGTTTGACTCATTATGTAGATAAAGAATTTTCCTGTAAAAAAAAAAGATCAATACATTGTTATAGTTTGAATAAATTAACTTGATACATTCTCTAAAACTTGTGAATGATTTGAAGTGAGAGGAGACTTTAGCAGGAAAGCTGATTTTCTGTATTCTGTTTAAAGACTATAAGATAAGAAGATATATATAAGAGGTGGATATTGTCACCTTGTTGTTTGATGGATTTTGTTTTTATGCCTTCAGTGTGGCATTTTGGCTGTCGCCATCTTGTTTTTTGGAACCAGAACTGACAGAAGAGGATGGGGCTAAGCACAACCAGACGCAGAATTAGACATCATTATTTAATGCTATCAAAAGTAATAATTAACTTTCATGAAGTAAAAAGGACTTTGAGGTTGAAGCTCTACGGACAGCACCCAAACCACACAACACCATTGTAGCAACCTGTCAATCACAAGGTGGCCTTTAGTATATGTTGCTTTATCTTCTATGTTATCTCAATGGGACAATCGTTTACTGACTGATCATCATGCTGTATTGGGAATTACTTGAAACTACAGATTGAGACCATGAACACATCAGAAACATAATTACTGGGGTAATACTTTAAAGGTCCCCAGAAATACTATTTTTCATTAATATATTATAGGTCTGAGATGTATGAAAAACCTGTCTCTGAAGTGTTTGGCTGAAACACCAAACAGATCATCGTTTCAGCCCTGTTCCTAAAGTGCTGATTCTGGGTCTGTAGCTTTAATGCTAATGAGCTGCTGCTGGCCACGCCCCTCTGTGAGATGATTGGTTAAAAAACCCACAATAGTGCTCTAGGAGGAGATTCAGGTGATAAGGTGGGTGGTGTTCCCTTGGAGGGTCATTGGCTAATGGTTGTATAACCCCCAAAAACATTGTGACATCACAAAGTTGCCAAAATCTGATCAGCTAACTTTCAGAAGAAAAAATAAAAAGTGGATTTTGCGTAATAGGTGACCCTTAAGAGAGAACTAGGGTCATTTTCTCAGAGTTCTGTACAACCTGACTTCTTTTTACATCAAGACAAAACTAGGGTAATTTTCTCATAGACTTCTATACAACTGGAATACTTTTTACCACCAGGAGTCGCTCCCTGTTTGCGATTAGAAAGAATGCAGTGTTTGGACACTTCTTCATTAACTTCTCACATGAGTGCCGCTTTTTTTTGTTGTTGAAATAATGCCATCCTAAATCCTAGAATAAATGTATGGTTGGTTTCTGTTTTTTTCTCAAGAGAGAATAACGCTTTAGCAGTCAACAAAAAGTAAATAAATATTTGTTTGGCCTCCTTTTAAGAACTTCATATTCAGGCTTATCGAAATTAAGCCAACTCAGTTATCCATGCATTACAAACGGCCCGTTAATAATGTTGAGTGACTGTTTTCTAAGTCTTGTAAAAAAGATTCACAACATTATCAGTCATCCTACTGCTTTATTTAGCATTTCATTTACTGTATAAAGTGTTTCGTATATACATAAATTACATTATACAGTAAGAGGGTGCATTGTTTATAATACAGTACAAATGCTAACTCGATCACATTTTGCGTGATGGATATCCAGTGTTTAACATTCAGACTCATTATTGGAAGCAGTGAGAACTACTTTGCTTGATGTTTCTTCATTTTACGTCCACAAATAAGCTCAGACATTTGGTTTTCTTCCTGTGAAAATGTGTGGAAATGTAAGGCTGCGTGTCTTTAATGAAGGTATTGTGGTGGATATCAAGTGTTCGTTGTAAAATCACACTCTTATCCTGCTGGCCTCATGCCCTCTTGTAAATGGAGGTATGATTACCAGCCGCACTGTTTCAGAAAAAACACAAGTCAACTCATCATCCTAAAGATACTTTGGAAACACTCGCCTCTGATGACATGTGGCATGCTATTATGCAAATCATCAAAGATAATATTACCCATTATCTTCCCGTCACATTCACTGCACAACATCAAGATCTTCTATGCAGAGCCGACAACAGTTTCACTTCATACGTTTGGGAATACAATGAAATAAAAGAGAAAAAAAGGCACTTCAGATAACAGATATATGGCAGTGGTGTTCAAGTGGGATTGACACTTTTGTAAATGTTACTCAAAGTCGCCCCAGCTCTCACACTTGTAGAGAACACTGATGTGGTATGAAGAGCTAGCGAAATGCTATCAGAAGGCACAAGATCTAAAGTAATGCAGGCCAGTAACGACACTCATTACAAAACATGTGCAGTTGAAAACACCTCAGAATTAAGTATGATTTTCAAGCAATCTAAACTGCTGATTTACATTGAAGGCATTTCTCTGTGAAAGATTTGAAGAGACAGAAACACAGCAGTGTCTCCAACATGTCTCCTTCAACAGCATGGTGTCAGAACATGTCAGTGCACAATGCAGGACACTCCCAAATCCTAAACGTCTCGGTGTGCTCGAGGTCTTTAGGTAGACCTAATACATCAAAAACTCTGAGGACCCCGTCCATCAAACTGCTCCCACTGAGGACATTTTGGTTCCGTAACACAAGCTGGATCTTTAGTCAGCCTATCAAATAACAAACACAAAATAGAATGATAAACTGAAAACATATTTTTTTAATTATTTTTGAATCTTCCTTCACATCTTTTTTGACCTCTTAAAGGTCAAGGAAAGAAGACATAGGACGTTACCTGTGGACAGTTCAACCTGAGCCAAAGTGTATTTCCAGCATTATGTTGCAGCTGTGCTCATTTACCTTGAGGCTTTATGTTCCATAACTTAATCAATGTACATGACGTGAGCAGAGGTGCTAGGCCCCTGCTGTGATACACTGGGAAACCCTGTGCAGACATTGACTCTTCCATCAGTGAAATTGGCTCAAATACCTCACAGGAATAAGCCCCTAGAACCTGGGAATAAGTGAGTATTTGACCACTTCCAGTTGGCTTGTCTTAAAATCAATGTTTTTTTGTGTGACTGAAATAAGATCTGTATTTGCTACAGGCTGAAGAGATGTTCACGTTTTGTTCGACAACATAAAAAACGCAAGTAGATACCCCACTCGTAAATGTCAGAAGCTTCTATGTGTTAGAAGATTAAATATGCTAATAAAAATGAAATAAGGCTTCTTAACATCACCTCAGCAAACATTAGCTGCTTTTAGCTTAGCCCGCGTGACGCGCTGCCATGCCACCGTGTTGATAGGCTAACATGGCTAATATGGGGACACTATGCAGCTGAACAAAACGTGTAAGTGCCATCAATGCATCCATCAAGTGGTTAACTTCTGTATATCTCTAAAGACGTACTGGTATATGCATAGCAACAAGTAAGTATATCAGATGATGAAGGCTAATTTTGAGCTAGCGGATAGATGTTTTCTGCACACATGTTAGGAGCCGTTTTGTTTGAATCAGATGTTTCCCCTAATGGTTTGATTGTGTTTGGGTTTATGTTGGCTCCCTTTAGGTTTGAGAGCATCCTTTACACTGGAAGAGCTGCATACACACAGCTCCATTACTGTCCCATGTGAGGCTCTCCTCCATGCTGCTCTATGATGGATAGGTGGAGCTGCTGGAGGAGGACTCCCCTCCCCTCGTCTTCCTCCGCTGCCTCCTGTTTCTGTTTGGGTGTAGGTGATTCCATCCGTGCTCTATAACAGCCCCGTCCAGAGGTTGTAGCAGGCGGTGTTGATGACAGACTCCAGGTGGTGGTACATGGACACCAGTTGAGGGGGGGGGCTGCTGCCGGCCTGCTGCTGTGACGGCAGGGGCTCCCTGAACACAACCTTTAGGCTCTGCAGGAAGATGGGAGGGAGAAAGAAACAACGCTGGAATGGTTCGCTGGTTTCAAAACTATAGTGTCCTAATAATGAATCATATCAGTTTCATAACTCACCGTTTTTCCAGCTTGGGCATCGAGAAAGACCAGCACGAAGCAGTCAGTGAACTTCTGGTTCAGAACAGCCTGAAACAAAGAGGATAGACATCAATATAGATTTAAGAGCAGGGATTTTGACTTGTGATCTTAAATATGATAAACATGTAGGAAACACTTTTTGGGTGACCATGAAAAAAAAGCACTGACGGATCAAACAGAGATGTGTGCAAAGCTGCTGACTGCAGATATAGTTTATTTCCCTGAATTCCTATCTTTTCACTAAATACTCAAATGTTCTTCAGCACAGAGACAATAAACCGGCTGATTGACGAAATGTTAACTGTATGGTTATATCATGTCCATAAATACAGTCATATGTTTAGATTTTGTTTTCATTATGTCAAATCCCATGAGTCAAACCAATAACTATTACAACAAGTCTGTGGCCAATAAGCTACTTTCCCCGCCTCCAACGCTGTATCCAGTTCTCGTTATACAGCCATGCTCCAGTCAGAGCTGTTCAATCAGAGTTCTAGAGCTCAGAAAGCTCAGATCTCTCACTTCACACAACCAGTTACACAAACCTTTAAAAAAACCTAACATTTGACAAGAAAATATGACAAATAATAAGGAGACGCAGAGGAGGGATCAGGCTGTGCTTTCAGTTTGTGAGTCTGGAGAAGTGAGGCACATTCTTTTGATCTCCAGCTTTCTCATTTTCAGAATCCCATAACAATAATCCCTCAAGAGTCTTTCTTTAAAATTAAACTCTGAGCTCTCCCAGTGACTCTACTCTTTAAACTCAATGATTGTTCCCATGTTTCACAGCATGTAGAAGCCAGAGAAACGCTGACTTGGGACACTCTGTAAAGACCTCCATTCAAATCGAACCCTAATAAACCCATATTGCGCTGACTGCATCAGTGTTTCTTGTTGCCATGCTGTATTGGCTCTCATATAGAAGGAGTGTTCTCACCAGATACTGGATGCCGTTGTCGTCGAAGTGTCTGCAGCTCTGAGGGAAGCGGTTGAGCAGGACCCGGATCAGACTCTGGTACCAGGCAGGACTCATGGTCAGGAAACAGTCCTACACACACACACACACACACACACACACACACACACACACACACACACACACACACACACACACACACACACACACACACACACACACACACACACACACACACACACACACACACAGTGTGAGGAAGCTCCCTGTACAGCAAACATCCACTGTATCTGTTAATATATGTTTCATCTTTAAATGCATGTACACATCATCTCTGTGAAATATAAATCTAAGCATGTTAAAATCATCTGTTACATAATTAGCTTATATAACATCTACATCTACTAATAATAATAATACATATTGACATGTAGGTAAAGGTATCCAGCCGCAGTATATAACGTCATTAAAACTATCATTTTTTATGATTCTAAAATGGGATATTCCATATTTTAAGTATATTTTGAAGCCATTACTTTTGTACTTGTGAGATTCTGAATGCAGGACTTTTTCTTGTAACAGTATTACAGTATTTATTGTTATATTTGTCTTTATTAGCTTACTTAACAGGGTCAGTGCACACTAATAGACATTTCTGTAAAGTAATGCAAGAGGCTATTTTTCATTGTAGTCCCTGGACAGATGCTTAAAAAAATTATGATAAAAAAAGAAAGAAATACAAATAATAAGTTAATATACTCGTTAAAAGCATGCAACACATGCCTTAATGTAGGAAATCCTAGTAAAAAATAAATAAAAAACACATGTTATATAGCAGGAAGATCAAATGCAGTACTGCTAATTGCTACTGATCTGAGTGTGTGTTCGACCACTGTTGAGAGGCTGGTGGAGGTGACACATGGAGGCTCACCAGCTGGGGGTCGATGTCCCCCACGGAGCGGCTCTGCACCGCCTGCAGCAGCTCCTCCAGCTCGCTGAAGGACAGCTTGGTGAGCTTCAGCTTGTCCAGGTGCTCTCCGTGGAACAGTCTCCTCCACAGGTTGTCTCTACGGCAGTGGCCCATGGCCTGCTCCACGCTGGCCTGGATCTGTCTGCGGGCCGCCAGCACCTCGTTGTTGAGCAGAGGGAACAGAGGGGAGGGGTACAGCAGCCTCTGGGCCTCAGCCCCGCCCCCCGCTAGAGGGTAGAACTCGTTTCCGTCGCTGGGAGTGGAGGCGGCCGCGGCTTCAGACGGTGTTTCTTCCCAGAGGTCCTGCTCGGCTCCAGGGGATCCGCCAGCCTCTGCCTGGTCTGTGGGGAGCCGGCCCCCCAGCTCAGAGGGGTCCCGGGGGATCTGAGGAAGCTTCTTGAAGCGCCGCATGTCGGCAGTGAGGCGGGGGAAGAGCTCTCTCTGACTCGTCATGATCACGTAGAACCGCAACCTGTATATGAAGGTATGTGAGAGATTAGAGAAGCAGTCAGAGTTGGCTCATTGTCATCAGAGGTGGACATTAAACCACAGTGTTTCATATGTAGAGAGGAATTGGTCATGAGTGGCTACTTAAACCTTTAAGAATCCATCATTACTGTGGCCTCCCAACATTCTTTTGATTCAGTCGCTTTGAAGATGTCTTCATTGTGTGACATAATTAAGAGCCAGTCGCCAATAGAGGGCGTTCCATAATCAGGCGACGACAAAGAAACAACAAGGTGAGCTTATTTATCGTTTTCATGTTTATACTCATAAAAAGCCAACTTTTTAGCCTTCATTAGCAACTTGTTATACCGTGACCTGTACCAAAAACTCACACTGTACTAGGATGCAACATAGTATGTTATTGCTTATGAATACTAAGACTTTTTTAATATTGCGGAAGAGAGATTATTTATTTTCTTAGTAACATTTCTTTGTTACAGCCTAGCATGAGCATGCAATTGCCAAAGATAGATACATCTTTCATTTAACATCTACTCTGACATTTTCTGTAATATGTTATTATAGTATCAGGAGAGAAACAGTCGTCTGCGCTCCATATGGGCAGAAACTCCAGGTGGGGTATTAAACATAGTAGAACATGTTGGGTCTGTTAATGGTTACAGTATTGTTAATGGAAATGGACAGTGTATTAATCATAATACGATTGCAGTAGTATCGTTATGTTTAGGTAGTTAAATCTACGGATACAGTTAGTAAAGGAACACAGGCACAGGGCAGCTCACTCAGGCATCCTATAGAAGGGAAGCACGGACCGACAGTAGCAGCTTGTATTGCTGTATTTCAGGGTGAGCATACGTACATAAAAGCCTGGTTCCTCATATTCAAATCAGCTAGAACACAAGTAACGTGTGTGTAAAGAATAGTGTGTTTTGAGTGTTATAGTGCAAGCTGTTATTGTTTTATTGTGCAAGTCCAAGAGAAAGGAAATATTTACAGCATGCAAAAGCTTTTCGAAGTTTTTCTGCAACAATGAAAATATGCCAAGACAATGTTATACTTCAGCTGGAAAATATCCAATTCAGTACAATACTTTACTAACCAAGGGGCCTTCAGACTGTTCTTTAGAATATCAAAATAGACAATTTACATTAAAATCCAAACTATGAATAATTCACTTTATTCTCAGGTTACTTTTAATGTAGATATTCAATGAACAAATACGTTTTCAGAAAAACAAGCAAACGTGCAATGGTTTTGCTTTTTTTTGGCTCACACTTTATGTCATTTTATCTCTGTTATATCTTTACCTTAACAAATGCCTCTCCCCATCGGACTGCTCCTCGAATGGAGCGGCGTTATGGCACACCACCAGGGACACGTCAAAGTCATCGTGGTGGTGCAGGCCCTCCAGATCCTTGTAAGAGCCCGAACTAAAGCAGGAAAGAAGAGAGCAAAGTGGTTAAACTACTGCAAACATACTGTGTGTGTTCTGTGACCAATGTATTGTACCTGTTCCACAGAGCCACCAGGGCGTACTCGTGCAGGTCAGGCGGACCCTTCTTGTTGTCGGTGGAGACGGCAGCCTTGGACATGCGGAGCGGCTTCATGCCATAGGTGCTGGCGTGGTCGGTGATGTAGTTGTAGAGCTGATGAGCCGTTATCATCCCCGTGGTGATGGAAAAGCTCCCTGATGTGGATAAAGATCACAGACTCTCAAAGAGATCATCAAAACATCTCCCACTCCTTCCTGCCAACCCACAGCGCCATAAAACCCTTCAGATGAAAACATGATGATGGAAATATCTATCTTTATCTCTTGAATGACTCAGAAAGTTTTCTGCTGTTAATTAGTCATCTGCTTTTCTCTCTTTTTCTTTTACTAATGACGTTGGGTGAGCCGAGCAGATGTGAAATGCTGCCCCTGTCTTCTTCTAAGCACCTGGCCGAGTAAAATATATTGTGTACTTATCTCTAGCGGTAGTTTATTAAACATAAATTAGATATACATACCCTAAACTAAAAATACTGCATCAGGCCAGCTTGTGTGGTATCAATATTGAAATATTACATTATATCTCACAAGGTGAAGCTCTTATCTTAAGCGACCCACAGTAAGAGAAACTCAGAACAGCAAGAAATGCAGATGTATCACTTAAGCCAAACTATTGTAAGCGCTGGTGCATTAGTCCTGATTTACATAAATATTTTAGGTACTGCAAAACATTTTGAGTTTATTGGCCAAGGCTTAAAAAATAAGTGGGTTTTTAGTCTGCAACAGAAGATTGCGCTGTCTCGATATCAATGGGGAGCTCTTTCTATTATTTTGGAGCCACGATAGCAAACATGAGTGTTTCTCTGTAAAAGGGCTCTATTCTGCTCATTTTAAGATCATATTTCTATTTAGTGCCTCTACTGTGACATGTCTCCATGCTTTGATGTTCAAAAAGCTCTTTATTTTTCTCATGCTGCCTGTGCTGCAGCACCTCTTTTCACCCTCTGCTCTGATTGGTTAGCTGACCGGTCAACCAATTTGAGATGTCCCCTCTGTGCAATTTCTCATTGCTGGGGATCCATTCTTTTCATTTCTCACATAAAACTTTGGGGTACACAACCTTTCTGGATTCACAATTCTGGCAAGTAGACGGCTACTTTTAATCCACTGTGAGCTAATCTCATGTTTTTTGCCGAATATTTTTCTCTTTCCAGCGCACACCTTTGGTGAGTTTGCCTATTTCAGGGGATTCTACATGCTTGGAGCAGTTGGGAGTGACTTTAATATGACTTTATGCTAAAAAGTCACCTTGGAAGACATGGTTGCGTCCAAACTTGGGAATATCGGGGTGATGTGAGATGAAGTCGTCCAGGAAGTCGGTGAGCTGGTAGCCCTGGCGGAGCGTCATGTGGCAGCCGACCAGGTACTGGTGAACCACTCGCAGGTGGAAGTCGTAGCTGAAGGAGTGAACGTGCATCAGGTCCCGCACCTTATCACACTCCTCAGTGAAGAGCATGGAGAGCTAAAGCAAAGGGTGGGGGGCAAAGTCAGCACCAGCACAGAGAGAAAGTCACAGGGAAAAACAACTCTTCAAGTACCTCCAAGCTCAAGTCTGGCCAATTTCATTACACACATCACTGGTAAATGAATAGAATCTGGCACTGAGCAGCACTGTCTCTGCCTGCTTATCTGTGTAATCATCAGCTCTATGCAGTGACCTGCTTTGCTTTTGCTTTGTGCGGTGCACCTTAAGGCCCTGTTGGCTCTGACTCCCACACCTTGGTGAGAGCCTTTTGTAAGCAACTAGATATCAATCAGATTCATAATAGAATCTTATTTAATTAAATCCAACATCAAAGGGGGGCTGACAAAAGCATTCATTGCAAATGTAAATGGCTGCAGTGAGTGTGCAGTTAATTACAGCCCAATAACAAGTGTGCCTCTTGCTTTTACTTTCATCCGGACCATTTGCCTGGAACCTATACAAATAGGCTTTATTCAATCAAATAGGCAAGAAGAACTGCGAGGCTCTCTTTAGCTGGAGAAAATTTTCATCAATGTCGGTGTCTGGAACCTTTCAGCACCTTTTCCTGGCTCAACACTTTCAGAAACTAGCATAAGGGCAGGAGACGTTCCCCCTTTATCACTTCCGAGATAAGAATGTTATCTTCTTTTGCACAGAAGAATGAAAAGATGAACTTTTCATGCAGTCTGGCAGACAAATTAGTTGTGACCTCTTAGCCTGCCATCGACAGAGCCAGGAGGCTGCTGGGACTTCATAGATCTCTTTAGCTCAGAGGTCATACATTTCCTCTTGACTATGAAGCTCATATTTAATACTTCCTAACCTGTAATCCCAAACGGTTCATGTTCAAGCTAATTTAGCACCCTGTGTAACTTTGACAAGAACACATTGTAGGGTAGAGTCACGGAGCTGGTCTCACAAGTGGAATTACTATACATGACAGAGGCTGCATTGATGGCAGAAGCTGTAATCATATGGGGTCAAACAAGAAGAAGACAATACACAAAGCAAGTCGATTGAAGAAGGACAAGAACCATTGGCATTTTACTTTTCAGTTTGTTCTCCTGTACTTACCGTCCTCAAATAGACAAAACAATTAAACATGCATTTTAAACAAACACAATGTAATTTTAGTGGAAAGTAATTCTTTTTCACACAGAAAGCGTGTGCAATGATCTGACAAAACCTCTTTAGGTTGTTCCTAGATATTCATTATTTATAATTAATGTGGATTGTGTTCTTCTGGCGAGCACCGTAGCCAGGATTATACAAGTATTAAGATCATGAATCCAAGTTAATTAAAATACACATTTTATAATAAAGTATTACAGGCATTACGAATAATGTGAACACATTTCAATGAGAAATGTTCTCATACCACACATGCCTTTGTGGATTTTGTCTGGGTTTCTTTGATAACTTTGACCTTTTTTGTGTCTATAAAATAAAATAATATATGGATAATAATATGAAAACCTATTATAAGTAAGTTAACTTTCTTCTTGTATTGGTTATAACCACTGAACACAAGAGTTCGATCATATATAGTTAGCAGTTAGCTTGCTAACTACTACAGCAAGCTAGTTTAAAGGTCCCATGTCATGGCCATTTCCACTGATCATAATTCCATTGTTGAGGTCTACTAGAATAGATTTATATTGTGCAATTTTCCAAAATCACTTTGGTTTCTCACACAGCATCTCTGTAAACTACGTGTATTCACTGAATTTCACTCTGCCTTTAACGGCTCGTTGTAGCTCTAGTAGCTCCAGCCCCCACCCTCCCTGTGAGCACAGTGTGCTCTGATTGGTCGGGACGTTGTGAATCGCGCTGAGCTCCGTGGAGGTGTGGTTTCCTTGTTTAGCGACAGCCAAACACAGCCAAACTCACAGCCAAACTCACCCTGAGCACACACAAAGTCACAGCCGAAGTAAAAACAATAAGTGTGGCTTGATATTGAGTAAGAAAAAGGTTGATAAACGCTGTGAGAATGGGTCTGCAGAGAGAATTTTGCCGCGATCCCAACTGTCTGTTATCAGCCTGCAGCCAGGGAGGAAAGATCAGCAGAGCTGCCTGCTCTGAGTGTGTGTGTGAGGAAGTCCGTGGATTGGTCAATTTGGACCAATCAGCGGGGGCTTAACGTAACGGCTGCTAACGTAACGGGCTCCACGGATTGGTCCATTTGGTTCCGGGTAACGCATGACATCATGCGGTACCCGGGAGAATCAATGGACAGTGATGTATCTCCAACGAGGCGTTTTTGGTATTTTCTGTGTTAGAGTTTTACTCACTACAGGGTGTACTTTGAGGGTTTTGACTCTGCAGACCGTTTACATGCATAAAAACCTTCATAACACACAAGGGGACGGGTAATAACCGGAAAAGCATGACATGGGACCTTTAACAGTCATAAATTGTTAAAGCCAGCTAGCTAGCCGTCAAGGGACATTTATGTTTTTACATGTCTTCAATTTCACATGTGAAATGAAAACCAAGCCAATATATATTCTCAAACTTCAACTTTGGAAAATGTAAACTTTGGAACATCAAATACTTCACTCAGCAGATTTGACCTATTTAAGCTAGCGCTAGGCAGCCTGGGATTCTAACCCGCTCAAATAATAGGTAATTGAAAAACGTTTATCTCTATCATTTACATTTTAATGAATTATAGTTAATTATAGTTAACTATTTTCTTTTATTGGCTATAACAACCGAACACTAGTGTTCAATCTTATATTATTTAATTAGCTTGCTTTATATCACAGCATGCTAGTTTAACAGTGCCAGCTAGCTAGCTGTGACGTTAAATGTGAATGATGTTTTCACACTTCTTAATTTTCACATGTGAAACCCACATGCCAACACAGTACATGAAAAAAAACTTGAATCAATATAGTGCTATGTAATCCAAGCACATTTCACAGTCTGTCAATGTGATCATCTTTAGCGAGCAGAGCAGCAGCAGCAGCCCCATGTTTTTCATTTAAACCCTGGGGGAAAGTTATAGCTCCAATATATCACTGGCAACCAAAGATGCAAGAGAAAATAAGATAAGATTATCAGAGAGAGGGCAGAGGGGCCAGCAGGAGTTGAACGAACACTTAGAGAACACAAGCGGAGACACCCAAACCAGCAAGCACGGACGACAGAAGCCCTGATAAAAGTTGAAAGGAGCAGAAAATCACAGCGCAGCGGGACTCAGACCTGAAACTCAAAAAAAGGAGTAACACCTGACCTTTGAGTTCCTTATTTGGTCAGTCTTCATAGTATGTGTTAGCAACTGTAGCTCCTACACGACAGAACACTGAGACCCATTCATTCCCAAAGAGACAAAAACACAGATATGGAGGTTTGGAAAGAAAGATGGCAGCAAGCAAAGCGGCAGGGGGGGCTTGGGGGGGATGAAGCCTGATTGTAGGGAGACACCCCTCCCGTGAGAATGGGACATACCGCACAGTCAGATACTGGGGTGGCATCTGGGAACGGCTTGCAACGAGGTTTGGTGAGGAGGCTGCCCTGATGGAGAGATGACATGAGGTGGGACACACTGACACACACACATCCTGACACTCACTCACAAACAGATGGATGAAAGGGAAGACTGAAGACATACTACAAGAATAAATAAGAACATGTTTTTCCATACTACAAAAATGCGATGAGACACATTACATACACACGTTAGAGCTGTGGAAAGGCATTTGATAAGGCTGGTGCACATATTGAAAACCTTGGGGCCGTTCACTTAAGAGTAACCAAGTATTCCACAAGTCGACGCCTATCACCATGAGACAGCACTGCAGGTACAGTACAGTAGTTTGCGTGTAAAACACAATGCATGAATATACAGACATTACATATTTCCTTCTATATTAATAACCTGTTGTGCTATGGTGCAGGAATGAGTCCCTAAAACATGCAATTGAGTTAGGTCATGAGGTCTGTGATTAACACAAGCTGATATTTAATACGACATAAATACATAAGTAAGTTCTACATTTGAGAATCGCTGAATCGCCAAGCATTAGCCGCCTTTAGCTTAGCAGTGGTAATGTGAAGTAATGTGGATTTTTACTTTTTCATTTACACTACAAAAATATAAAGCGGTGTTATTGTGTGGGGATTATCCTGCTGAAAAAATGTGTAAATATCATAAACATGTGTTTGACAAACATCTTATGAAATGCTAACTTCTGGGTCGGCCTACACAAATACTTCATCACTGCACCACTACATATATACATTAGCCTTATTAATCATTATTCATGTTATATAAATACATGTTTGTTTCAGTGAACAAGACAAAGTAAATTCCCTTTATAATAATTATTACTATTTAAATTAATTAAATTAATTGCTTATTTAAGTCGATGTTCAGCCTTTTCACAACATTCTCAGTAAACAAAGTAGCTGTAATGAATGCATCCTTTCTGCCTTTCTCACCACCTTAACCCTTTTGCACCCCCTCTATCTGAGCATGAAGCCACAGATTAGAGAAATGTTCACAACACCACAAGGTAACAAATGCCACAACATCTTTGACATCTCTGCCTGACATCTCACATCAAAGTGCACCGGTGTGTAAATCTGAACATGGATCAGTCACAGATGGGAGAGAATGAAAACAGTTTGTGATATAGATCAGGATTTAGGTGAGAAATGAAGCTGTGGGTTGGTGGCAGACGGGATTAGAGTTATATCTGATGGCCTTAAATCCTTAAAAAATGCAAAATCACAGATGTGAGAAATTGCCTCTGATTATGTGGAGTCAAATCACAGCTGTATGAATAGAATAGATAGTAGAGTTCCTCAGCCATCTTAAAACATACAGTATATTCAAATGTACAGGAAACGTTTTGTACCATAACATTTCTTCCACATCTATCTTCAGAAGAAGAATTTTGAAAATGATATCAAAAAACGTTCTATTCTGTCTAAGGTCAGCTCTGTCAGAAAGTTTGTTGCCGGCTCACAGAAAATGTTGAGGAAAAATATCCTAATGTTTAATGCTGAATGAAAGATTTGCACATTCACCCCTGAGAGCAAATTCTTCTTAAATAAATTGATTTCGCTACATATTTTCATATAAAATGCTGATGTTTGCTTTATCTTAACATTAAGTGGCCCAATGAGTGACACCCAGAGCAGTGAAGAAACACTAAAGTGTCATAAAATCAAAGAACCCTTAACTGAAGGTAAACATACAAAAACATGCAGGCAACTGAATAACACTGTATGGATTTCTTAATGAGTCCACATAGTTGTGCTGGGAGGAACTGATAAGATACACTGCCAAACTCAATATTGTGTCAGAGATTCCTCACTTATTTTAGTCTGCTGTCATTTCCAGACTCTACTCCCCTGAAAAACACAGCATCAGTTGGTAGTATAAATGCTTATAAATAACAAATGTTTATGTTCTCTTGGTCGTATCTTTCTGTGATAAAAGATGCCCACAATGTGGATCCATCTACTGCAGATGCACAAGTACTGAGAGAGAGACCAACAATGTTATTTTGAGTCTTTCCACCGGATGAATCAAATATATAAATATATATTCAGCATATCCTTCCATAACTGTAATTCTATGATCAAACACCTCCCCTATGGGTGAACTAGAGCAACGAGCCAAAGTTACACAAACTGTATCAACATACAGTACAACCCCTAGGAAGAAGACATCACACTACTGACAAAACATCACAGTAACCTCAGGTGCCACATTTCATTGTTCAGAAAGTAATCCCACTACATTGTCATAAGGACAAAATAAAAAATAAACTAAAGCAGCAAATATACTGAAATATGCTCGCAGAAATTAATATATCATTATGGTATACATTTTTCAGCAGTTTCCCATATTGAGAGATTGTAGGTGTCTTTTAGTACCACACAGTAGACTTTTATAAACCTAACAAGGTGGAGATTGTCCTTAGAGTAGTCATTTCTAACTGCAATTCTTTCTACCAAACAAATACAGTTTGTAGCAGGTCCCTGAAAGACCTCTGACATCTTGCTGAACCCTGAGACCCCTCAGAGTAGTCCCAGCATGCTCCAGTAAAACCACTGTTCTACAAGGAGATCAATGCACATTCTTCTCACGTGTCAAACATATGTATTGAATCACTTTGTATGCCATAACTCATGGGCTCTCTTTCATGCTTTTAATCACTGCAGATCCCCAGAGAAGAGAAGGCACAGCTCAGTTTGCATATTTACCTGGGAGTTGACTGTCTGGCCCATGGGGATGCGGGAACACTCCAGTGCATACTGCTTCACACAGAAGTAACACCCCTGGCAGCACGATAAGGAGAACGTGTAATTACTTTATGAAAATCAACAATCCTGGATCTATTCATATCTTCTGGGGAAAGTAAACATTTTACTTTGTGCAATATATGGCTCTTCAGGAACTCTGTCTATTAATTAGTGATTATCTCAGCTTGGGCTTGGCACTATAACCAGGTAACAGAAAGTATACACGATACACTTTGGTGATCGATTTAAAGTGTACACGTTTATACCAGGCAGGTTGAATTAAAGATGCTATTAAGTGTCATGGGAAGTGTAGGATTTAGTCATTAGCATCAGACAGTTGGTCTTACACTTTAGTCTAGAGCTAAATATAAACAACTGTTGTTTGGAAGGCCATGACTATTCATAGACATCCGTGGTCCCTAGAGATTGACCTCAAATGACAGTAGGGATACTCTGATTTATCGTCATCAGGTCAACCATTTAATGTGTTTGATACCCTGGTTAATGACAAAATACCTGCTAACCATTAGCTTTAGCTGCACTTTTTTTTACGGCTCCTTAGCAAATGTAAGCATGCTAACACAATCAATTAAACTGGTTAACATCAATCCTGCTAACCATCAGCATGTTATTTTGCCTTAGTAGTGCCTAAGTATTTTAGCATGCTGATGTTAGCATTCAGCTGCTAGCATCTCCGTGCTTATCTACAGGAGCTGATAGGATGGCCTTTGACTAAGACCAAAATTATTGGACTTATTTTAGGAACTGCATTGACCCAGTGGTGTACAGTAAAAAAAAAAGACTAAATGAAACCACTTAACTTGGCAATTCAATACAAATATACATGAATGTCATATTGTGCAATCTTTGTTATTTTGAGATGCATCAGAAACATTTTACAATTTAATTGAAACAAAGATGAATAATGCTTTAAAATGAAAAGGTACCTTTGCGACAAAAAACAAATAGGTGAGCACAATGCCCTTCATGATCTCCTGCTCACCTGAAAAGCCAGTTCCATCAGCACGATGCCCCCTGGCAACGCCCTCTGGAGGTGGTACGCAGTAGTGCCAGATGCTATGGCCTGCCAAGTGAAATCAGTCACAGGTTGTCAAATGAAGGTGTTTGAAGGCAGATACAGCTGACATTGTGTGCTGCTTTTTCATTTCAGTAAAAAGGAAGAACAACTCCATTTTGTGATTGGATGTCTACTGTTTCAATCATACACAATTGGCGATTTAACACTAATTAGATGGAAATCATTAAACAGACTTCCTTTGCTCTGTAGATTAAAGAAATGTTTAATAGTTTACAAGCTTGAAGAAATCCAATACGCATTAAAAATCTCTTCCACAAAGTTTATAAAGATTAAAAGAGAATTAACTTACCAGATAACTTACCAGGTAAATAAACATTTAAAATCAGTCTTTAAAAAGGCAAGAAAATTACAATTACATTTTCTTTTCTTATTAAAAAGTTAAATAATAATATAGGTGCAAAAATACAAGAACAAAAGTTAAAGTCCAGTGTAACATATAATGAGTTATCTTATTCAGTTGAAGAAAAACTGAAAATTCTTCAGCCTGGATTTTAAAAAAGTGAGAGTTTCAGATGACCTGCAGGGTTCTGGCAGCAAATACTAAAACTACCTTCTGGAAGAGCACTGCAGAAGATTGCTCGGTGGTTGAACCAGTGTTTAAAAAACTTTTATTGCCCTGACAGTGTCTAGTATAGTTGTCGTAAAACATCATTTGGGATTTCACCCTGGCCTCTTGACTCTGCCGTGTGCTTTTTGTGTGTGTGTGCTTGTGTGTGCTTGTGTGTGCGTGTGTGTGTGTGTGTGTGTGTGTGTGTGTGTGTGTGTGTGTGTGTGTGTGTGTGTGTGTGTGTGTGTAGAGCAGAGAGGATGCTGCACGTGTTACCATTGAGTACAGAAAAAAATTGCACAACCTATAACCAGTTTCCGTTCTGAACCTGGCTACAGAGGACTACTCTACGTGTGAAGTTTTCAACCTGAAGGGACAAGAAGCTTTAGTCCAAAGCACCTTCACTGATGTTAGCAGCAATGAAAAGGTTACCACTATGTGTCAAATGCTTCATGTTTCCTGAACGCCCAGTGGCTAGTAGAGCACTACTCTTTCTTTTTATTTCTACAGCACCACATTCTATCTCTATTAACACTGTTTTAGGAAGCATTATATATTACATTCTATAACTAAACTTTTTCTAATTCTATACCCAAATGAACTATTCCTCACAGCACAGCTCTCCTTATTTCTAGAGAAATTCTTTATCGCATTGTGAGCACATTGTCTTCGTTTTAATATTGTGAACCCCGCACAACAATTTTTTCATATTTATATAATGATATAAATATTTCTCTATATCTCTAGTGGTATAGCGTTTTTTTAATTGTTATATTTTTGGACCTTTTCTTACAATCAATGTGCACCATACACACCAGAGAAAATGTCTGTGTACTACTACTTGGCAATAAGCTTGTTTCTGATTCTGCTTGTTATATCTGGCGTTAGATATCCCCGCTGTAGTTTGGATACAGTTCGATTTTGCAAAAAGTAACTGTGTACTAACTAACTAGCAATAATCATAACTACTAACTCAAGCTTCTAAATATATATACTGTATATATAAATTAAAAGGGGCCCTATTATGTCTTTTGGGGTTTCCCTCTCCTGAAGTGTGTTATATATGTGTTTGTGCATGTAAATAGTCTGCAAGGCTAAAATCCCAAACTTTAGTTTGCTCTCTGTATGACTGACTGGACTTTCTTGCAAGAAATAAAATGTGAAAAAGACCACAACCCGTGAAAACTGACCTTAGGGCTGTCCTCGCTCTTCTGCTTTACGTAAGAGAAAGACATCCTCCCTTCTGTGGACATAGAGTTCAGCATAGAAGCACGAGCCCGGGCGATGCTGTAAGAGATGGGAGGGGGGTGGGGGGGGTGTAATGGTCAGTTAGGGTCTGGTTAAATAAGAGAGAAACACGCAGAGCTAAGCCGTAAGACAACATTCAGAGAATCACACGGTCTGAGCCTAGAAAGTGACAGGCTGCTCTGCTGACATCTACCAGGGGCAGCAGAGCGGAGGGAGGGTCAGAGGTCAGGCACGGATCCAAACACATATGATGACTAATCGATGAATAATGCTGACGCATAAGGTAGAAAGAGCAAGGAGTGATACTGCGTAACATATGGAATTCTCCCAAAGATTTTTATATTTCACAAGGCAAACCATTAGCTTTGGCTACTGTTAGCAATGCAGTGCAATTCATTAAAAAAAATGATGGAAACCATATAACCACCACGGCCCCTAGTAGACCCCCCCACACACAATAACACAGACTATTACACCCCTTGTTGTTTAATACCAAGTTACCAACCAGCTATGTGCAATATGTGCAATATATATATGCCGTTAATAACTGTGCAATATATACCTGGCTGCTAAATCCTCAGAACTGTTACAAGATGTGTATTTTGTAAATTGTGTAACTTTTTTTATTCTAATTTTTTTTTTTTTAATACTTTTATTTGCTGTAACAATGTACTCTGTACCCTCTGTGTGACTAATAAAGGTATTCTGATTCTGATGGTTCAGAGTGGTTTTACATGCATTTTAGAGCCTACTTTGATCGAAGGGAAAGCCTGTAATATAATGTGAAACACCGAAAAAAAAGACGGCAGCTTAGAATAGCAAGTGTCACAGGTAGATATTCAACTTAAAGCGCAAAATAAAGAATATTTAGGGACAGACCTGCGCGCTGGAGACTGCGGTCGGACCTGCACCAGGATGAAGCCCATGCTTTGCAGGTACTGGACGTACTGCTGCAAGAAGGTGCTGGAGATGTCCTGCAGCCAGGCCTCCTCCTTCAGGCGGCTGGGCAGCATGTCGGCAGAGTCCGTGCTGTAGCTGCGGTCCCGGCCCGACGCCGTGGAGTCGTTGGAGCGATGGCGTTTCTGGCACAGGGAACAGTGGACATAACTCAGCCTCACAGAACTCTTTCAATGTATGCAGACAATTTTTTGTATAGCAATAATTATTATTATCAAGCAAACATAATGTATGCTAAACTTTGAGTAATAGCCAGTAGGCTAACCTAGATGCCTTTCCAAAAATAAGGGCAAGGCAAGTTAAGTTTATTCATACAGCACCTTTCAGCACACAGCAACCCAAAGTGCTTTACAAAATAAAATAAAAGACAATTAAGAATAAATACAGTGGAAGCACAGTATAAAATGACATTTAAAGACAGGCATTTAAAAGCAAAGATAATAAAATAAACACAACAGAATCTTTCTAAATGGCCAACTTTCTGGGGGGCGGGGCTTATGGAAGCCAAATAGAAATATGTCCGCAATTCCATGAGAAATGTCTGTTCCAAAATTTTTGAAGTTCGGAGAAACTATGTAACTACCACACAATAGGGGGCGCTACTGAGCTGTTTTAACAAAAAAATGACGATTATTTTTTGTTGTTGTACATTCTCGAAAAAGTCGTTGACTTTGACGTGTGTCCCAAATGTTGTGTTCGAAGCTCATTTTAGCACATCGCAATAAAAAGAAATGTTATAGGCCACGCCCGTGTTCGTCATTTGTTGCGACACTTAAAATATAAGTTCAAAATCTGTGATATTTGGGCATTTCTTTCTAAGCCCCGCCTTTTTGCAAATAAGTTTTGTTTTAACGGCGGCCATACTTATCTACTGAACATGCTCATTTCCTAGGATAATATGTCTGACCCTCCACCGATGCTGTATACTAAGTTTGGTGTCGAAAAACAAAAAATTGAAATTTAAGTCAATATTTCACTGTTTAAAAAAAAAAAAAATCAAAGTAGGCGGAGCTTAGAGGTTCAAGAGGACCAAATGTAGAGCAGGTCCACCCGGATAAGTGTGCAAAATTTCAGGTCAAACGGACTTACGGTGCGACTATGTAAATTGTTCCAAAATTATTTACATATAGGTGGCGCTAGCGAGCATGTTGGACAATTTGAACCCATTGACTCCAGAATGTACAATTTTTTACCGGTCCTGGCGTCCGTGCAAAGTTATACAATTTTTTAAGCGTCCTAAAGCCCTCAAAAACAGGTTTAAAGCGCAGGAAGAAGAAAAAATCAGAGGATAACAATAGGTTCCTCGCACTTCGTGCTAGGACGCCGTTGGGTCCTAGTACTCTCGCGCTCGGGCCCTAATAACGGAAGCTTTTGGCATATGTTTTTCAACGGCTATGCAATAGTAGATGACCCCGGCTTTTATTGATTGTGATTGAAAGTGATTGAAACACTTTCTTATTATTTATTTTGTAATATCTTCAAGACATTCTTTTTAGTTTTACAGCTTATTGAACCTTTTTGTTTGACATCAGCCATTATAGATAATATGGCCATCTGAGTTTGTGTGGTACTGTTTGTGGTTTGTTTTAACTGTGTAATAAAGTTAATTATTCAAAATGTTAGAGTTCCTTATTTTCAAACAGAAACTAGCACTACTGTTCAAAATAAATAATATATACATTTGGGAATATTTTTTGCTTTTTCTTGTTGTACCGAACCCGTACCGAACTGTGACCCCCAAACCGAGGTAAATGCAGAATCGTGAATTCTGTGAACCGTTACACTCCTACAGGAAAGGCATTGTGTTTGTTTGTTACATTGACACTGACCGCTATCGTTTATCAAAAATGTGTCAGACAACGGTCATTTTGTACATTTTTTGACAGTGGATCAGTTGAAATAAATATTATATATATGAATATATTCTTATCTTTATTATAATGAAGATGAAATACTTGAAAAGGGCCCTATTATGCTTTGGGTTTTTCCCTTTTCTGTAGTGCGTTATATAGGTTTTAATGCATGTAAATGGGCTGCAAAGGCTACAATCCCAAAGTTACCCCCAGAGGGAGTTTCTCTCCCACACACTCCCCCTGCCTGAAACGCCTTAATTAGAATGATTTGTTTACTTCTGTAACATAGTGACATAACCATGTAACACTTGTGCTNCCCCGGACCGGTGGTCTCTCAGGCCTTAACAGGGTTAAAAAGCAGGGTCCTAAGATGGAGCCTGAGAACCCAACATGTCTACTTGTAGGAAACTTCTGCAGCATGAGTCAGGAACTCAGAGACACGGGACGCAGCCAGGAGTTCTGAGTCAAATACGTATCTTTAATACAAGTATCGCCGGAAAGAAATCACATCACAAGTCACACAGTCAGAGGTTCTGAACTGCACGGGTTGGTTGCCATGTCAAATCTGCCAGCGCTCCTCTCTCGAGTAGAACCCTTTAACTGTTTACAGAGAGAATTCACATATTGGGGGAGGGTGCGTAAACACTGGGAACACTGCAGATATCCCCGATATCTGGAAATACTCAATGACCTGTCTGGAGAGCTTAGAAAGCCAACGTTCTCACAGTCGTAAAACCCTCTGTGACCGATAATAAAACTGAGAATAACATCACATGATTCCATTATCACATTCCTTACGGGAGATAACAGACTTAGGGTTTGTTGTAAATGTCAACAGGCAAAAAGGTTAAATATTTAGAAGTAAAGACAGAATTAATCCCTAACAATACTTGTCAATGCTGATGTGTAATTGCCTATAGAGACAAAGTTGTTTCTGTCCTTTAAGTAGGAATCAAACCAATTTAGGACTGTTGCCGAAAGTCCCACCCAGTTTTCCAGTTGGTCTAGTCATATATTGTGGTCAACAGTATCAAATGCAGCGCTAAGATCTAATAATACCAACACTGAAGTTCTGCCACTGTCTGTGTTTAAATGGATGTTGTTTAAGACTTTAACAAGAGCAGTCTCAGTTCTGTGATTTGGTCGAAAGCCTGACTGGAACACATCAAAACCGTCAGTTAAAAACATGAAATGACTCAGCTGTTGAAAAACAACTTTTTCAATAATTTTTCCTAAAAAAGGGAGGTTTGATATTGGCCTATAATTATTCATTACGGATGCGTCTAGATTATGCTTTAATAAGATTGGTTTGATTACTGCAGTTTTGCAGGACCTGTGGAAATGTGTAAATTAACGGCCGTGATTAATCTGGAAACCTTAGAGTGCACATTACCAAGTTTGACCGAACTACCTCCCGTAATTCTAGCATAGAATTGCATGGCGTTCAAAAGGTTTACGATTTATTCAACTTTAAACAAAGTTTGTGTTGCTTGTAAATAGCGATTTGTAAAAAAGTATTTTAATATGTGGACTTTATTGTTCAATCATAAAACCACTTTCTATAGACACATCTTTTACTTCAAATTTGAAACTAACAAACTACAATCTTTGCAAAAAAATATTTGATCACTACTTTCATCGAATTATGTGTGTTTTATTTCAAATCAAAGCACGTGGTGTTATTACACATTTGAAATGTTTCAAAAACTAAATCCTGTCTCAACTTTGACATATACCAGTCCATGATAATTTAACAAGATATGGTCCTCTGATCTTAAGTATAGTCAAAATAAATAAATCTTTTGCTCAAAAATAAGGTATCATGTTGTGTAAACGAGGTTTATTGACCATAAATGTCAAAAGAAAAGTATTGAGTGATGAGTTTGCATAAAGGAGGCTTTAAAGTGTGCCAAAAAAAGTAGCAAAGTTGAGGAATGTAGCTAACACAAAGGTTAAACAGTACACAACCTCCTCTCCGAGTCAGGCTGTAAACGTACCTTCACTGGAGGCTGAACAATCTGCTCCTCTTGGATCTGCTTCCTGAAGGTGGGGTCGAAGAGGAGGGGGGTGGCACAGTAGTGGACCAGCCTGGACGAGTGCTTCAGGGTCTCCAAATCTGCACCCTGCGGAGACATCCATGATAAGATAAGACGACGACCCCTCAGAGGTATTCTGATACACGAAAATGTAACTACTTTGCTTTCAAGATAAAGTCTACCAGGCTCTATACTTTAGTTCAGCAGTGTTCACGGGCAGCTTCCACATCAAAGATTCAGCAGATGGAATCCACACTGAGTGTACTGTATGAACTACATCGGGCTCGACTATCAGATCCTGACTTTGATGCAGTCTGATCACGTCGTTAAGCTCATCCAGTGGCATGAAAATCAACCTAAAACCAATTTCCAGTGGACAAGCCTTTGGATCTGCATACCTTCAGATGAGCTCTGTGGGTGTTGAAATATCAAGTTGTAAATGTGTGCCACAATGTAACCTCTCTAGAGATGTCACTGTGGAAGACTGAAACCTTTTTAATCAGCCCTGGATATTTCCCACTTTGAAACATGGCAATGCTGAATGATTTCCCAGAGGAATGAAGAGTAATTTTGGCTCCTTAAAGCTGTAAAGTAGTGAGCGGCACCACTCCCCCAGGTTCTGTCAGGTCCAATTAGCCACACTTGATATTAGGCTACTTTCACCATGCAGGAAGTTAATACTCAATTCAGATTTACCGGTCAGATCCAATTTGTTGGGAGCATGTTCACATTGTGTTTCTTTTCATGTGTTCAATATGTAATACCATTTTGACTTCTTCAGCCCTCTCAATGAAGTGAAAAGTACATTAAAATCTTTCATGCTCATGCATTAGACGATACATTCCGCCTGCACTGCAAGTACAGTAAGTAGAAAGACTAATACCAGGCTTAGAGAAGTAAACATGTTTCGGTGTTTGGCTTTTAAATGAACCGTTTTAAAAAGGGGCCATGTTTAATGTTACACTAAAGTTACAGCCTCCAGTGCTGCAGGAAACACACAGATGACAGGACCCCACGTGGAGATTATAAGAAAGATCCATTTTGACCGGCTCTGATTTTCATCAGATTGGTCAAATGTTTCTTATTCCTGCCCTGACTGACCAAATGACAGGAAATTAGACTGACAGGCATACACCCTATGTTTTGAAAGAGAACTCCACAAAAGGTTTTGTGGCTACAATGAAAAAGGATCAGAAGCAGCTTAGCTGTGTTGGTACTGCAGCCATGTTCTTCTGTGTCTTTTTCCAACTATTTTAAATATGTAAACAACCAACTAACACTACTTTATTGTTCTCATTCTCCTTCCTGGAATGAAGAAAATTTACAAAAAAAAGTGATCGTGATTTTCCCACTGCTGGATACTACCAGAGTGTCTGTTTTCAATCGTCCTTATGACAAATTATACATTCGAGTGCACCAACTGTTCACAGGTTGCTTGCCTCAAAATAGACTTGTATCCTAGTTAGTATGACAAAACTGAAAACAAAAGTCAGATACTTGGCAACGGTGGGGAAGGTAACAACAAAAAGATCCTAATGACCCTCTGGTTAGATATGACAATTACCGAGAGTTATTTATGTATCTGCTCTCTGTTAACTGTGTCCTATACATTCAATTATTTACTGATTTGTGGATTGTTTATTCGTGTATTTTAGTTTTTTAGAACTGTATTTCTTGTTGTTGTGTAACCATACTGTATATTTTCTTAAAATGCAAATAAAAAAAAGGATAATAAAAACAAATTCCTACATGTGTATAGATGTGTGCATGTGACTTGTGGTACTTACTGAAATGGGCATGTTGGACTGTGCCGACCTCTGCTGCCACGTCACAAAAAGGTTCTCTATCTTCATCTGCTTCTCCAGTTCTGTCAGCGCAAACACAGGAAACTGGGTTTGATGGGCTCATTGAACAAAAATGACATTCTTTTTATAAGAAGTAGCAGTAATAACCTCTCCGCTCAGCAACTTTGATCTCCAGGAGCTGGCTGCCATGTCGGGCCACCACATCCCCCTCCATCAGGGGCCGGATGGTGCACACGTCCCTCAGAGCCTCGTCGAAGGGAAGCAGCTCGGAGGGGAAGTGGAGCGGGGCGAGGCTCCGGACCGAGGGGCCCAGCCTGCCCTGCTCCTTACTGGGTAGGGGGGGGACCGCGCTGCGCAGCAATGCATCGGGCTCCATGGAGGGGCTCAGGAAGGGGTTGGGATCCTGGAGAAGACAAATAAGAAGAAGAAAAATAAATAAACAATCTGTGAAAAAATGACAAGGAACACTATTTGTATGACATGACAATAAATGCTAAACAAAGCGACAGCAAGGACAGACAAAAGGATGACCGCACATCAGGTAACTAAAGAAGCCAAAAGTGGGTATTTTCAAATCGTCATGTACAGTAGTCAGATTGAAATCATATTCCAAAAAGTGTTAGGAATATTAAATGATATCAATGACCAGCTTAACACCTCTGAAAACTTTTTGGATTAGCGCAAATGCATGAATGCTTGCAAAGTCAGCTACATAGGGCACAGAGCCCACACTAAGTCAAAGTCAGGACCCTACAGTATATGAATTATATTCCCTGCACTACATATCAGATTTAATTAGATTAAATAAACTTTATTGTTCCCAAATTGGGATTTTATTGCAAAGTAGCCTGTTAACAAAAATGTAAATAAACAGTCAAAATATATACGTTTAAACTGTAGAAAAAAAAAATGTATAAATATATTACCTTAAGAATTAACAATATCAAATATATAGAATAGGTTAAAATACTCTATAATAGGCAAGTATTCTACCAACAAATATAAACAAAGGATACAATATACACAATAAAGTCTGCTAAATACTTTCTGAAATAAAGATTTGACTACATTTATATAATTAATTGGGATGTTTTTAAATAAATAAACAGTAAATATATACATAAACAGTATAAATAACTATATCTAAAGAGTATCTTAAGAAAGCACAATATAAAACATACAGAATAATTTAGAAAACGTCTAAAAACGTAGGAGTTATCTGCTAGACAGAGGGGAGGTGTTGTAGATTGTAGATAGGGGTATTGCTCTTGGCAGGAATGATATTCCTTTTCCGTGGTGTGCTGGGGTGGAAACACAAACACTAGGGACACTGGCAGGCTGAACAAGCTCGCGAGGAACGCTAGCTCTGTAGTTGGAGTACAACTGGACAATCTGGAGGAGGTGGCAGAGGGGAGGACGAGGAGGAAGCTCGACAGCATCCAGAGAACCCCTCCCACCCACTCCATGCAGAGCTAGTGAAGATGAGGAGTACGTTCAGCCACAGACTCATCCCTCCACGACACAGCACCAAGGGCCTCGGACAGTCCTTTGTGCCTGTAGCCATCAGGCTGCACAACAAGGGGTCAATAATGTAAAAAAATAAAAAAATAAAATCACTGGACATGAATATACACTGTTTCCACAACCCATGTTAATATATTAGTAGTAGGACAAATATGTAGATAGATATGTCACTATATGTACAGATGTCCATTTTCACTTGTCACTTTAACTAATTTCGTACTTCATAATTCATATGACCAAATATTTATATATGCTGACTGTTATTTTACTCATCTCCTATTTCAGAGTCTTTTATTATTATTATCATTTTATTTTAATTTTTTATTTTATTAATCTGTGTGAATCTGTGCTGTCCTGTTTTTTACGCTTACCCTGTTGCTGCTTGTACAACTGAATTTCCCCACGGGATTAATAAAGGTCCATCTTGTCTTATCTTATATACTGTATCAGTTCTCGTGACAGCGAGGCGGAATCAGTCTGTTGTAGGAGGAGCTCTCTGTCTGTCCAGTAGTTTGCGGAGAGGGAAGTCAGGATTATTCATAATGGATAACGTTTATCAGAGTCCTCTCCACCACAACTCCTACATTGACTGGTTTGCTGCTGATGGTGGTGCCAGCCTTCTTAATCAATACAAACTGTTACAGAACATTTGGTTAGGTATCTACCCTTCAACCCAGTCCATCACTTTCTCCTTTCACTTTCTCCTTCCCATGGCATAGGTCTGGGGCCTTGGGGTAATGCTGCTATCTCTCTTAAGGAGGAGTAGCTCTGGCTCTTTGTAGCTGCCAGGTCGTGACCAAGCACAGGCTGCTTATGAAGTACGAAATGAGTTAAAGTGAAAATGGACATCTGTACATATAGTGAAATATCTATCAACATATTTGGTCTACTACTAATATATTAACATGGGTTGTGGAAAC